GGGGAGGGGGGGGCAGTAACATTCCAGCCTTAGTCAAACCAAAACAAAATGTTATATCATCCTGAGGCTCAGATATGCGTCACTAGGCTCCTTCAGCCTCCGGGGGTTAAAGGCAACATGCAGTGCTCACTGTCTAGACAGACATGGTGTCTAAAGATCGTTCCGCTGAAAGCCAATGTGCACGAACAGGCTGGGAGTGAGAGAGAGAGAGAGAGAGAGAGAGAGAGAGAGAGAGACTCACGCTGGAGGGGCCGGTGGCAGGCAAACCCAGGGTGATGTTTGGGAGTGAAGGCGACGTGTACAGAGACAGCTGACTCACAGCACCCTCCCGGCTGACCAGCCGCTGGGCCAGGGACGGCTGGAAGGGGGCAGCAGAGAGCGGAGAGGTAAGTAAACGAGGGGCAGGTCAATGACCCGGTGTGGCTGGAGTGGCACCCAGTGGACGTGTCTGCAGACGCCCTCCAGCAGGTTCAAGGCTCACGTCGCTCAGTGCGAGTCCTCGGGACATCAGCCATGTCCGTTCTTAGGCAGCACTACATTGGCCAGACCCACTCTCAATAAACATTTGAATGAAACAACTGAATTTATTTTTTTATAGCGCCCCAAGGCTCCTGATAAGTGTGTGTGGCAATCCATTATTACGTTTACACAGAATGTAGCATGAAACTGGGAACAGGGCAGCAGATAAGAATGAAAGCCAGAAGACTACGGAGAAGGGGAACTAAAAACTCCCGAGTAGGGAGATGAAGAACTTGTAGGGGTCCAAGGTCGACTGGCTGCCCAACCCCCACAAGTGTGGCTGCCAACGTTACAGGAAATGGAAAGAATGGAGCCGCTTTACAAAAGCAAGGTGTCAACTGGGTTCATGGTCAAACATCCGGAAAGTGAGACGGTGCGGGTTCACGGTGCAGGAGCGCTGGCGCTTACCTCCACAGGGCTGCCGATGCCGTTCTCGTTGGTGATGTTGCTGGAGCTGTTGTTGGGAGAGCTGGGCCCAGAACCGGGGGCACTGTTACACGCTGAGTCTGAGAAGGAGATTCCCATTAGAGGGAGACGCCGCAGGTCCGTGAGAACCGGGTTTAGGCCAGGCGGCAGGGGTCGGGATGGGGGGTGGGGCCTACCGGCCATGTCCAGCGAGCGCTTCTTGGCAGTGTTGATGGGGCCATCCTTCCGGCGAAGCAGTGGGCTGCTACGTCGCTCTGTCACCTTCTGCTTCAGTCGCGACCTCAGTTTCAGGTTGGGCTCCGACGCTGGGGGGGGGGGGGCAGACCGTCAAGGAGGGTTTTTTATTTAAATCAGGTTAAATCAGCGAACAGGTCTGAACTGAGAACGGAGTGTCTTCATTGGCAGGACACCGTTTGTCCCGTATTTTTGCATCTGGACTAACATTTTTTACACCCACCCACCCCAATAATCTAGCCAGTGGAAAGCCCACTAAATTAACGGCCTGATTCGAGCCTGAATCCGAACACGCTGCTAATTGTGTGGAACGTGACAGCGGGTGATACCCTTACGTTTCTTTCCTTTTTTTGTAAAAACGTTAAAAGGGTCATAAAGGGCGTGTTAATGCACAAAGAGGCGGAGCATCAGATATTCCGGAAAACACTTCAGCACCCCCCTCCTCCCCGATGTATAATGTATGAACTGAAAGTGCAGAAGCCCTAAGCGAGAGCACCATGAAATAACACCAGAGAATATCCCAGGCCCACCGCTTCCATCCGGAGACACATTTGCGAGCTCTTCCCTTAATGTGAGGATGGACGGGGCCCCCACCTCTCATGGTTTAGCGGTTAAGGCACTGGCCTTGAGACTGGACCTCTGGAATTCCTGCCAGTCCATTAACCGGAACCGAGCGGGTGAGCGAATGTCCAGCGGCAGATGGGGCTGCTAATGCAGGTCGCCCAGCCATTCAGCGCCTCTTCACAGCATCCTGCTCGAGGACGTCACTGCATGCGTGGAAATAAACGGCACGGTACTGACGCTGCGGGTCGCAAACAAAAGGGTGTCCTCCCCCTGACCTGGGTCTGTCAAACACGACAGGGTACCACATGGTTTGTTACCTGCTGCCGCCCACCTCCCAGCATGCACTGGGTTCTGGGGGCAGGTAACAGGTGAGCGATTTCCTCACAGCTCTGCCCTTTTCATACTGAGGTGAGATTAATTGCTCCTGGCCAGTATGAATATTGGAGAGCCCCCCCCCCCAACCCAGTGACCCTTCTCAGTGTCTCAGTCATGCTGCTTCGACCAGATGCTGTCGGCCTGTGACTCGTACCGCACACGATTCGCCTTCGAGAGGCGCCATTTCAAAATTCTCCAGTAAGAGGAGGACCAACACACAGAAGCGTTTTAAACATTGCTACCCAGACCACATGTATCGTATGACTAAGCATAACGACACAAAGGCTGTAAGGGATAATCTGCAAAGAACAAGCTGCCAGTCGGCCCAGCAAATGGGTCCGCCAACCAACCCCCCCCAGACACATTGTGACCTACAGCTCCCAGTCGGAGGAGCGCTGTGAGGGGGTGGGATCAAGCTGAGCCAGAGCGGCCTATCGGGGCCTCCCGGGAACGTGTGAGGAGCTGGCAGTGAGTGACGCACGCCTGCTCCAATCGGGGGCCAGAGCTCGCCGTGTGCCACGCAGTGAGAAAGATAAGCAAACTGGCAGGGGTGTGAATCTGGGGAGCGAGGTCCGTCTGCGTCCTGGCGGCGCATCAGAAAAGCAGAGGAATGACGAGGGAAACCCCCACACCGCCGCCCCCCCAATCATAACAAAAAAAGACACTCTTATACATCATAGCTCTCATAAGGAGATGATGGAGGGCTGGTGAGAATCTATACACTGTATGATTAAATTTGTGCTCAATTTATGCGCCGCGAGCCAGAATAAACCACAGACGGAATTAACAGAGAAAAAAAACAAAACAAAAAAAGACATTTTCAGATTATTTTTATGTACATTCCCATGTATTAAAAGAATTACAGGAAACTGCCTAACAAAAATGTGAAAGCAGGGAAAAGACGGTCTTGGCGTGATGGAGATGGGCACGTGGGGCACGGCCAGCCGGGCCGGTATCTGCGTGTGGCATCTGCTGGGCCCCCTACCGTCGGTGCGCGGCGGCGATCCAATGAGGGCCCGCGGAACAATCGTGATGAAGGAGCTCGCTATCTGGTCATCGCCCGGAGCGCCGCTGAGCGGGCTGCCTCTCGCATCAGCGCGTTTAAAAATAAACGAAACAAGACATGCAACGACTAGCCACTGGCCACGCCCATCCCTCCCTATGAGACAGCGGGAGGCTGTGATTTTTTTTACCTTCTCTTAGTAGACAGGCAGAACGCAATCGGGACATGAGGATGGAACATGTGGGGATGTTCGGTAAAGCTCAGAAATCCTGTTCCCTGGGCGTGGTGTGGGGCCAGGAGCACACAATGGCAGATGCCACTGAACGTCGTATTAATCCCCGCCCAGTTACGTGCTGGCCAATCAGATGTGCCAATAGCCTGTGGAACTCTGGCTATTTCTGTTTTGGCATTGCTGTCACATTGGGATCCATGGCATCAATCGGAAAGTGGCAGGGAGGTGTCCGTGTAAATGTGCTGGATCTCCTGAGAGGATGTCCGGAACGACACCCTCCGGCTTCTGTGACCCGGGTGCCGGCCAGAGCCGTGGATGTTAGGAAGGGTCGACACAGGGCTGGGTTTTTGAGACTGGGGGGGGGGATGGATCACACATCACATTACTGCCATGCACAAAGGCTACTATGTTCCGAGCTTTGAGCTCCACCCCCAGCTAAGTATGCCTGTTCTCAATGGGTCATGGGAAACGTGGAACAAAAGCCCCCGTAGAGCAGGGACGGGGGTGTCGGGTGGAGCGAGCCAGGGTCAGATGGGGGCGTAGGCAGGCGATGAACTGGAGGGTGAGGCCAGACCCGGACTGGGGGCTGACAAAATGGGGCAATGGACAATCGGTAGCCTGTGTGGAACAGTCCCACTCGGCATCCATGACTGATATGCGGCCAAAAGAACCTGCTTTGCAACGTGATGTATATAAAAAAAAAAACACACTGGAGAAGACCGAATAGGCTTCACTCGAGGTACGTTACGCTGCGGCTGAAACCCTCCTAGGAGCTGGAGAGGGCAGCCCCGGTGCACATGCTCAACCTCACACCATGTACGCTTTGTGGTCACATTGTAAATGTCAGGGGGCGGGGCCCAGGAAGGTCCGCCGAGTTTCCTGTACGACTGAGACGCGCGCTGAGTGTAGGAGGAAGCCAGTATCGGGCCATGGAATGAATCGGGGGCTCATGAAGAACTGCCATCATTTACATAAGCAAATCCCACAACCATGTCACCGCAGCCAGAATGAACAGACATGGGGCGGGGGGGTCCGTTTCCACAGCCATCCCCCTCACGGCAGACCAACCGAGACCTGATCCGGCGCGAGTCCCCAATAGTGGCCGTGCTGACCTAGAAGAGGACTCCACGGCTTCTGGCCGTCCGGTGGTCCATCCCCTCCGCCCCCACCCCGCGGCGCTCCCCAGGCAGCAGGAATGCGGGCCGGCTAGCCAGAGCAAACTGAGGTCTGTCTCCAGCGGGAGCCGTGGAATCAGGCCGGACAGCTCGGAGCTCACGCCGGGCTCACCGCTAAGTGAATAATTACAGCGTACAAAGAGTGCTTCACGGCCTCACCCCCGCCGGCAGAGCACTGCGCTGGCACTGCTGCCCACCCCCCCGCGCCCGAATTCCCGGGCTGGTGTTGCTTTTTACTAGTCGCCTTTAAAAGTTGCTTGCCCTTTGAAAAAAAATATATGACAGGAACTATAAATAAAATGTGTCCGTCACTCCTACGTCAGGAATCTCACTGGAGGCTGTCCCTCATTGAAAGACATGGTGGGGGGAATTGAAGTGAGGGGGGGGGGTCTCAATTCAGACTTGAAGGGCCCATAGCCGGAATGAAAACCTACATGACACACACATGCTGGAGTGTAACAGGAACCCCCCTTGAGGTCACCTCGCTGGATCTCCCCCTGCACCTGAACCTCAACCATCACCCACCGGACCCCAAGACCGATCCGGACTCATTCCTGTCCCTTCTGCTGCAGGGTCCCTTCTCTGCAGGACTGCACTGATGGCACAGAACCAGTTTAAGGCACCATGGTTCTAAGTCAGCCGGAATGAGCCTCTGTGGGGCTCTGTTAGAGTACCACACCTGTGGAATGTTCTGGAGCTTTCCCTTCATAGAGACCGGGGGTGTGTGCGTGTGCGTGTGTGTGTGCGTGCGTGCGTGTGCGTGTGTGTGTGTGCTCGCGCGCATCTAACAAGCCTGTGTAGATTATCATCGCCTGCGTACAGATTAACCTAGACGTTCAGATAAGAATCATCTTAAAACTGAGCTGACAAGTCCTGCAGGGATTGGCATGGGTAAGCGGCGGAGGACTACAGCGGCAGCAAAGAGCCGGAAAGTTCTGCAAGCACAGACCAGGAGTCAGTACAGGCGACCCCAAAGAGAAGGAACTGTCAGGTCACTCGGGGTTGCTGTGGAGATGATGGACATGGAGGGGCAGAGCAGGAGAGGCCCAGTACCTGTCTTTCGAAGGGGGAAGTCGTCTTTAGGATCGTACATTCCCAGGACAGGGTGGTTGTAGGTAGCCGACATTCCCGTCTGCGGAGGGGAGCTTTGGTCCAGGGAGCTGTGTTGGGTTTTCCTGCAAGCATACAGGAAAGGCAGGAGGGGGGGGTTGTGGTTAGATGAGGGACTAGAGGTAGGGCCCTTGGAAGCAGAACCAGGATGGAAAGCAGAATAAAAATCAGCCCCCACATTCATGACTGAAGGCTGAGTGGCTCTGCTGCACAGAGTGTTACAGTAATGACCCCCAGGCGATGGACGGATCGGCCAGGTGGGTCAGCGCGGAGGCGGGTTGAGGGCGCCGGTCCAGCTCGCGTGCCCGCCGCGGTCCCTGGCAGTGATAGCACTGCCAAACCGGCCGCAGTGTCTCCGGAAGCCCGCTGGGGCGGCGCTGTGCCAGGGCACACGTTCCGGTCGACCGGGCACCTCGGCATGGTTCCTGCCCTCCCCCCACCCCCCGCGCACGGACAGGCTGCTCGCTCGTTCAGAAAGGTCGCTTGCCTTCCTCTCGCTCCCAATGTCTCACGGGAAGATGCACCCGCCCGAAGGGCCCTGAGACTCGTGGTCTGATCTCCTTGATGCCGAGACGGCAGTCATGGGGACGACAACGCCACGCACGTGTTAGCAGGCCGTAGAGAGATCCGGCGCAATGCACCAGCGGGCCCAGACGACGCTCTCGACATGGCCGGGCAGGGATTAAACTGGCTCCTTCAGCCCGGAAACACCAGACAGTGAAGCCTGGATGGCTCTCGATGGCTCGGCTGAAGTGCAGCGCGAGTGCGGCAAAGCGATGAGCCTCTCCACGGCCATGTGCCATCTCGTCTCAAACCCCCCGCCCCCCCAAATCCCCCAGCCCCACACAATCTCTCCACTACCAGCGATTAGCCACGAAGCCTCTGAAAAGCTCCCCACCTCAGACAAAATCCTTTGATGCATATTAGGAAAAAAATAGTAAAAAAAAACGTAAATGAACTGAAATTTGTCTAAGACAAGAGCTGAAGGCTAACTGTCAAATTCTTCAGTTGTTCTGATGTTGCGGATATTCAGACGAGGCCCTTGGGGTCGTGAAGATAACCCCCCCCGGAGTGGAGTACCTCAGGTCGACTGGAACCACACCCCAGGCCAGCGAATTTAATCTGTTCACCTTCACCTGGCGCCCGGAGAGGTGTGATCCTGGTCTGAACATGCATGTTTTAAAACCCCACACTGCAGCTGTTAGAATACGAATGTTTTGATTAATAAACAATGTTTTACTTTTCATGTGGTCGCCATTCGAAAACCTTCCTTGGAGCCGGCAGTGAGCCGCGTTGAAAAATAACAGTAGACAAACACTCAAAAATAGACGATTGACTTTTGAAAACTTTTGTGTTTGCACAGTAAGTGCCTTGTTGGGGGTGCGGAACTGTTTTAAAACAGAGTGGATTTCCCTTCAGACAGGCCTGCAGAAGCGGACACCGTTTTCAGCTAAAGATCCGCTCCGAGCTGATGGCGAATGCCTATGTCATTCACAGCTGTGCCGGGTTGTGTGGAGAACTACTTCTCCATACTGGGGGCAGCAAGCAAACCGAATGGTAACACAGCCCACCGCTAAGATCCCAAGACACTCTTCAGTTCTTCGGGAGAACTGACCAGCAAAGACCGTACTTCTGCAAGGCCCTCTGTTTGGAGAAGGGAGGGGGAGGATATATATTTATCTTCCTTTCCCGGATTTCAGCATGTCAGAACGAGCAGAAAAGGCAGGGAGGCGAATGTGCACATGAGCTATTAATATTGAAGGCCCGTGCTTCGGGTCGGCATCACGGCAAGCTCGAGTCTGCAAGGGAGCAAGTTTTATCAGCAAGAGGCTGATAAAAGAAGGAATATAAGATGAGCAACTTGCCCGGCAAAGGCCACTGATTCATTCATAAAAAAAAGGGGGGAGGGGTGTTGTGGGGCGGAGCACATGCCGCATTCCTGCCTTATCTGTCCGGTGTGTTTGTGTTTAAAATAATCCAGAGTGGGGAAGAGAGAAAAAAGAACAAACATTCTGTCTGATGCATACGCGACTGACATCAAAGAACAGAGCACCATCAATCACAGAGCAGCTGTGGGAAATGGAAAGAAATGGACAGCCTCTGATTATCAGTGTTATCAAGCTTAAACCGAACAGAATTTAATGCCAGAGATATCCTGTAATTCCCTGACACGCCACAAACTTTAACATCCACATATCAGCCAGTTTTACCCGAATAATCATGAGCCATCTTGATCTGTCACATAGCATAACTTGATGACCTCTGACCTTTGGTTTCCATGTTACTGGAGCGGGCAAGTTGGCACTTACCCGTACCAGAAGCGTGGGTCTCCAGGCAGGCAGTGGTTTAGGTTCCTCTGAGCCAAAGCCTTCTTCTTGTTCAGGACGAACTCCTGGAGTCTCATCTTCACCTCCGTGCTGGCCACTGCGCCTGAGGGGAACCAAGACGTGGTCAGGACCCCCATTCTGACCTCCTCCTCCCGGCCGTCAGTAGCTGTCTGTTTCCAGAAGGCATGGGTAAATGAGTCTAGCTGGCCACGTTCTGTTCAGTGTGGTTGTATAACTTTCAGTTAATTATACAGGCTCTGATTACAGGAAATCACAGGGCAGCTTCTGGCAACTAGTGGCTCAGCAGTCAGAAAAATGGATTGTCGACCGTCGCAGGAACTCTGCTCCGCACTATGTGCAATTAAGGCCACATGAAATCTGGAGCTCTAGCTCCTAAACAGAAAGAGGCATGACTGTGCCTATTCAAAGGGGAGTACAACTACCAAAAAGCACAGATAAACGAAAGCAGACACCTCCAAAATCATGATCTAAACCTTGATGACCCCTTCAGGGTTGCTTTGTGGATTTTAAAGAGGGGCATCATTTATACAGAGGGGCTAATCTGGTCATAAGCCAATGATATGGTCTGAATTAGTGAGTGGCAGGAGAGGGAATACTTCAGGGGTCAATCAGCTTTCAGTTAAGACCAATGCCTGTGTAGACCCGCCCCTGGCTCCACCCCTTTCAGAAGAAGCCCCCTAGGAATGCGTCAGCGAGGCTTAGCTTTAAACAAAAGCATCTCCCCTTGTTCATGTCTCTGTTTAATTAGCACCCTCCATTCACCGTAAACAAGTCCCACGGGAAAAGCAGTGCCCCTTATTAGCGGCGAGGAGGCGAGAAAGCTAGGCCCAGGCAACAGGTTTCTCCGGTGTTGCGAAGCGGAGAAAAACAGCGGCCTTCAACGCAGGCGCCCCATCTCTCAGCAAGTGCACGGCTTCCTCAGTTTCCGTGGGGACCAAGTTCGAGACGCCATGTCCCCACAAAGGCATTAAGGCTAAAGCTCTGTCAATAATTCCCATCTCTTTCTGAAGATCAGTCGGCGGGAGACCACCACGGAGACTGTGGCTGCGCTGCCCCACGCCGAGCCCCACTCACTCTCCTGGCCGCGCTCCTTGTTCTTCAGAAGCAGGAGCTTCTTCTCCCGGTGCTGCTTCTCCAGCTCCTGCTCGTGCCGATGCTTCTCCATCTTACGCTGGTGCTCCAAGAGCTCCTGCTGGTGCTTCAGAGCCAGCAGGTCCTGCTGATGCTGGGAGTGGAAGAGCAAGAAGCAGATCAGGGTCAGACCGGCATCGTAGAAGTCACATGGATACAAGGTGCACTCCAAGGTGATCCGTCCATCAACACTAAACAGCCAATAACCGCTTCAAATGTTGTTCATTCTCAGATGTGGCAAAGGAAACAATTTAGATACATTTCATGAGTGTCATTCCTGTCTACGGTGAGCTGCGACCTCAAAAAAGTACCTTGCCACAACGCTAATAAATGGGAGCTCATCTCAGTCGCAGAGAGAGGCCACCGACTATTACATTCCACTGAGATTTCGAAAGGCCTTGCCCATCTCTGTTATGGGCAGATAATGTTTCTTATTAAACAAATCCGCTCCCTACTTTCATTGCTAAATCCCCTATCAAGGCGGGCTATCCTCTTTCTCGGCACGCGCTAGCACATCGATTCCTCTCTCCATGTGAAAGAGATGCCCGTCACTCAGCGGGGGCCTAAAATGGCCAGAGGCTCACGGTTGCAGCCCGGTTGTGATGCGCTGAATTAGGCCCCCTTGTTCCAATGTCTATCTGTCTGCCATAACTGCTTAGAAGTTGCAGGTAGGTCTCTTCTCTGCCTGCTTCCAGCCATTCAGTCTTGTGGCTCATATAAATAGAAATTTGTGCACAGAGGCGCAGGCAGCACCAAGGCCTACCATGTTCTGAGTGGGGCCCGATTAGACCCCCGCCCACAGATCGGCCCATACAGCTCTCTTTCCTGCACTCAAAGCAGGAATAGAACAGTCATAGGACAGTAGCAAACACTTGGTCACTGGAAGTTCATAACTAACACTTACCTTCTACTGAATAATGGGTGTGAGAGTCTTAGCATCTGCTTTTATATAATAACAAACGATAGAAACATTTGGGACAACACTGGGTGGGTGGCCACCATAGGCACACGGTAACGCAGACCTGACGGTTACACCAAGGGGGCGTGTCCGCACAGGATGGAGCCCCTGCATGTGTTAGCTGTGCAGCCAGCGATGAAGGTGCTCCCTCCGGAATACCCCTGGAAAACGCTACTGTTTTATGTTTCTCTCATCTATGGGACGGTGGAACGAAAGCCACAGCTCCCTGAAACATGTCTCGACACTCTTCCTCCTCCTCCACTTACTCTAGCTCCCCCGCACGTCTGTCTCGCTCTCAAACGAGCCCACCAGAGCTGTCCCTTTGGCTGCCTCCCACTGATGTCCTTGTTAGCGGGCTGCCAATAGGTGGCGCTCACATCGTTACAGACTACGGGGGTGTCGCTGCACACTGAAGGCTCCCTTCCACTGTGTCTCACACCCACCGCCGTCCCACTGGACTCGTGCACGCTGGCTCTCTCTCTCATCCCTCGGTCATGCTCATGCACTCGCTCTCCCACGCATTGCTGCTCTTGATTTTTAGGCTGCGCTCCACCCTGTCTACTTGCCGCATTAAGAACATTAATGGAAGGAGAGGCTGACTCTGCTCCTCCTTTCCACGAAACGGAGGAATATAGGACGGCCAGGATTCGACCGAAGCGTGGGGGGGAAAACGCACCCATGGCGTTTCCTGCACATGAGCTGGAGCCCGGAAGAGAAAGATATTCAGCAATAAACGTTTTAAAGCATAATAATCATGGAGCAGATAAGCGTAAGCAGCATGTGGACATGAGGAGAAGTGTTGAGATTGCCAACGGCCTCTGATGCGTCCCTCCCCTCTGCCTGGGGGCATGCGGGGTACAGGGCCTACCTTGATGTGTTCCTGCAGCTGGGCCTCATGCTGCCGGGAGAGCTGCTCGTGTTGCCTCTGAAACTCGGCAATGAGAAGCTGCCTCTGGATCTCCTGCTTCTGCTTCAGCGCCAGCAGCTCCTGCTGTAGTTGTTGCTCGCGCCGGGTCGGGTCGGCCGCGCTCACGCTGGGCGCCAGGCCGAACTGGTGGTCCACGCGCAGGTCCATGGGAATGGCGGTGGGGGGCACTCGCAAGGGCAGCGCCGAGCTCACATCCACTGTTGAGAAGGAAGAGGGACGTTCAGTGGAGAGAACGCCAACCGCAGGGCGGCCCGGATCGTGGCCCACTGCTCAAACCCAAAATGGAACTCTTTCAAGGCCAAAATGAGCAGCTTTAGCTGATCTCTAAATCACTTAATAGCTACCTAACCACTACTCGCTTCACTGGGAAAATACACTTTAATATTAAACAACTGCCCATTAAAAAAACACGACTCCGAACATGGGAAAGACATCGGAACGTCCGTGGATCACGCTGGAGTAACCGTTACGTAAGCATGTTAAAAGCTACGCCTCGGCGCCAATCGGGGCACGTTCGGCCTTCGGCGCAGGCACTGGCACATCCCACCCCACAAAAGGAGGGTCCGTAAAGCCCACTGAATAGTCATTCAACCGTGAAAGGAGTGTTTTGATTAAATGACAGAAAAGGGAGAAAAGCTCAAAATCCATTCTCGCCAGATAAAAAGAAGCGTCGAGGCCCGTAATAGCCCCATTACCCAGCATCCCCCGCAAGGCATTAAGAGGAAATGGAACGCCGCGAAAAGACATCTGCCGAACCTCCGACGGAGACTCACAGCGGCAACATCAGGCCTCCCCCACCTGGGGAGCTGCCACGGCGCCGGGGCCTGCGGCTTCAGGAAACGCCCAGGCTGAGGCCTACCACAGGCCAGCAGACTAACCAACTCCCATCCCACGAAAAACAGCCCCACTCAGAAGGATCCCACAGTGTGGCCGGCCGGATCCCACCGTAGCAAATAAACAAACGTGTGGAGAAGGAAGATCACTTCAATCCGTCTGCATCGCGGCACTAATGAATGGAGAAAGATTATTCTGCAATGTTGCAGTGCCCTGCGCCGCTAGTCTAAAAACTTCTAAACCTGGGAAGCAGTGCATCGGTGATACGGACCCTGCCCGAGGATAATCAAAAAAAAAAGAGAGCTTTGTTTTGCAACGTCAATGATCAGAATGCAAAATACCTTCAGGCTGTCAAGCTGGAAAAATTCAAAGGACACACTTCAAGACATTACCACCGACTGTTATGATGGTGGTTGAAGTTGATGTTAATGTGAAGTGAATAAATGAAATCCAGAAGATAAGCCACCTGTAGCTAGAGCATCGTCTGCTACTGTTTACCGTGTGATGTCACACCCAATATCTTAGATAGACTTGGCTTGTGAGTGCAGGTTTTAATGGCTGGGTGCTCAGGAGGAGAAACACTGAACACATTCATGATCGCCCCCACGGTCGTTCCGCCCACCCGCAACGTCCAGCGAGGGGTCTGCCTCTGCTCCCCCGATGGGCTTGAGGTCAGGCAGGGCACAGAAAAGCGGGGCTGAACAAAAGCCCCCTATCAAGAAGCCCCACGCCACAAGGGGGTCTGCTGCCCTCGCTCCCAAGCGCGCTACACGTCAGAGACAGAACTCCCCTTTTCATCCTGCCCCGATAACTCTATAAAATCTAATTTGTGACGCAAACGGGGCCTACAAAGAGGGCATTGAGACAGCCTGTGGGGATTTTGGTGGGGCGGGGGGGGGGGAGGAGGGTATGATGGAAACTGCTCATCTGGGACTTGGTGTGAGAAGCGGTGCACAGGAAGTCCTCCCAAATTAACATCTTCCTCTAGATCTGCTCTGAATAAATACCGGTGATATAAGGGTAAGTTATTTATGTGTTTATGAACAAGGAGAGACGGCCGGGCATGTTTTCTTTCTAATTTGGCTTAAATCGGGCGCCAAACAGGCTTGTGGTACCACACACATAGCACCTGCCCTCAACCAAGCCAACTCAATCAAACAGCTTCTTTATCTAAGATCTGCTCCAAAAAGCAGAGCAGTCTATTACTCCACATTAGTGCCAAAGACAAAACAGGTACCCTAAAGCCTCAAGAATGACTTCTTCCGCATGAGATTTATTCCTGTCCCGTTTCAGCTCGAATGTGGGCCACCAGCATGGATCATATAATCTTCTGCACAGATGGGCCCTCGTTCCAGAATTTCTACTGAGCACCAAAATGCTAAGGTCGAACTGACCCTGATGCAGATGGGGTGGAGTGCCCATGCAGGGACCGCAGTGCAGACAGACCCACGGTGCCTTTCCAGCTCCGCATTCCCAACGTCAGCCAAGCAGGTATTTTTTTGCCAAAATGTAGCCGGCCGAAGCAACTGAAGATCAGAGATATAAATAAGGGAGTCTGATTTTGGGGGGGGTCGTAGAGTCCATTAAGTTTGATGGCAGAAGATCGATCCTGCGTGCGCAGTGGAGTCTGACTGCCAATGGCACGCGAGTGGTGATCATGCCTTAACCGCCAGCGACATGACAAATGCACGTCAAGGAGGAGAGCGGGCATCACTGACCGGAAAGTCTTCGCAGCAGAAGCTTGTAGATGCCAACAAGTCAGTCAACCACGTCATGAGCTAGTAGTTTTCATGTCTGCCTGTGACCCCTGATGACAGATTTCCATTCCCCATAAGACCCTCGTGAAACTCAGCCTCCTCCTCCCATCCATGTGACCCCCCCCCAGTCAGATGGTGACACACTCCTGTGTCGTTGTGTTTAACTAGGGAGCTGTGGCACTTCAGGAGCTCGAGGTTCTGCCTCCAAGGGTATGGCGTGAAATGGGGATGCAACAACACGACGCTCCCATCGGGACAGAGAGAGTGGGTCCGGGAGACAGAGCCGGCGGGAGCAGAGGCCGCAGCCGCACTCCTGTATCACGCTTGGCAGCCAAGCTCCGCCCCCTCATGTCCGTAATAACGAGGCCGAGAGCCACACCGCTTCCTGTTTTGTTTTTATTAGCTTCCCCCGCTAAGTCTGCCTGTGCCGCCCAGCTTCGCTGATTCTCGGTGACCCAGCGGATTTAATTAAACTTGGAAATGAAGTGCAAACGCCAAAGAGAAGCAGAATCCAAACAGACTGGCCTGCAGAATTCAGCACGTCTCAAACCAGCAAACGGCACCTTGCCCAAGCTCAAGATCATTCACCCATTTCAAACAGCCTATGAGCAGGACTCCCTACCTGAATCCCAGCATTCCTTGCACTGCCGCATATAAGCAGAGTCATTCTCCCCAACCCCGACGAAACCTGCTATCTGCCTCCATCTACATCCCCACCCGCTGGCCCCCTTGTGTAATGGTGCATCAAACGACGGCTATGCCAGCATGGTCATGACGCATGAGGGAAGCAGAGAGGACACTTCTTCTTTTACCCAAACAAGGGGGGGGTTGGTAGATGTTTTGAGTCAGAATATACCAGGAGATGGTTTATCACAACTCTCATTACTCCAATGGATAGAGGAGGCAAGCTTACAGAATGACGCAGATGAAAGTTTCACCGGTTCACATATCAGCCGAGTGACGAGCCCCCAGGTCCTGCAGGTGAGAAGGAACCGAGCATCTTGGTCCTAGTACAGGATAAGCTGGGAAGGTGTCACTGAGCAGCTCTCAGCCCTGCAGTTAAGAGGTGGCAGCTCTTTGGTGGTGAAGTTTCAATTCCATTTCACTAATTTAGATTTTTCAGCCTCAGCCAGCAGGCTGCTGCATGGGAGTTTTACTTACATAAAAATGTTCTGAGGGCAGAAGTAAAAGCAGCTAGAGGAACTGGGACCAACCAATCAGATGTCTTGGTCCTGCCTGCTCTAGTTGCTTGAATCCACCTCCTCTACAATCTGATTGGTTATCTCTCCGAGCCAATCTTTTTTCCTTCTGCCCTCAGAACATTTTTGTGCAAGTAAAACTGCCATGAGCCTGCTGAGAACAGTGTCGAGGGAAATAAGACAAGTATGCCAGAATTTGGAAAGCAGGGCTGGCATTAATGGGCACAGCTTACAGGTTGGGTCCACAAGCCATAACTCATAAGCAGGACTGCAAGCAGGTTTCACAATCAAGGAAAGACAAGGAAGGGAACCACACAGATGGGACCACAGTGCACAGCTCACGAGGCAAAGAGGGCCGGCTCATTCTCTGAAGAAACATGGGCACACTGCAGATGCTTATGTAACCAGGTCTTTGCTGGGGAAACGGGGACATAGCGAGTTGTCCGGAGTAACACAGATTACCCAGTATACCTTGGTTAAATGGGCTGGCCCTGCCAAGAACCTCGTCAAGCCACAGAGGTCGATCCACACGAGGCTCTTACCGAAACAGGCAACATATGAAATATTACGGCATAGAGGCTCAGAGTATAGCGCAGCTCATAAGCATGGATCTACACACCTGAGGTCCAGGCTGACAGCAAGCTGATTTTTAGGGTGATGGCAGGAAGACAGACAGAGCTGCAGGGCAGCACATAGCATGAAACACCTCAGCAATCCCCCTGGCTTCACCTTCAAAATTTAAACAAAAACATCATCTGCTTAAATCCAGGACGTCCCCGTCGGTTCAGGAGGCCTAGATTTAATATCACGCCTGAGCGTCTTCCCCCCCCCCTATGTCCCCCTGCCTCGCCTCCCAGCGGCATGTGTGTAGAAACGAGCTCCGCCCCAGACAGATCAGGAGCCATAGGAGCAGCAGAGGAGCCCGACAGACGTGCTCTCCAGACTTGTGTTGTTGACGCTATTAGCCCACAAAGCCATCTGACTCAGTTCGGACCAGAGGACGATGAACAAGAGACGGGTGGGGGGTGCAATTTACCCTGAGTGGGAACATCTGTGGAGAACCAGCCAGAGGCTGCAGACAGGGGGTGGGGGGACATTACCTGTCAGGTCATTCCATCAACGAGGGGTAGAGAGCCCCCTGCCAGGGCTAATTAGACTGCCCGTCACCGTAACCACTTCACGCCCATCCACTGCCACACTCAGGACGCCAAGGAGGAAGCTGCGGCCAGCAGATACCTAAAAGTGGCCTTCTTAAAACAGCACGTCATCAGAAAACATGCCGCCTCAACATAGCGCCCCAACTTTAACCCTTTAAACACACAGTGGGTGGGTCCTTACTTATTTAGTCACAGATGAACCATCACCCTGCTCTTATAGCCGTGTAGCGATGGTTTGACACATCCTGGC